CGCCATTACGGAGCTCCCAGTGGTGAGTGTACGGAGCGGTGAAGCTCGCGTTCCGCGGCTCCTCGCGTCGCCCGGACCGGCGCCGCCACGTCTGCGCCGAGCGTGAGCCCCAAGCTGTCAAAACGCCGCGCCCTCGCCTCAGCCCCTTGGTGTCAGCGGTCCTGAGTCTTCCCTGCCTCCATCTCGACCCTGCTCTCCCCACCCCCACCCCGCAGCCGTTTACGCGTTCGCCGCTGTGGCTTGTAGCGCTGCCTAGCCTCTTTGTCTCTCTGCTGCGCTTTGCCGTCTTCCTCTCTGCCTTCTGTGGGCGGGGGTGTCAGCTGTTGGCGCTGCTGCTGCGGCCTTAAGCTTTCGTTTCCCGTGCGGCAAATGTAGAACTTGTTACTCGCTGCACCGTGGTGTGGTTTGAATTAGAGCTGCTTCGATAGGTCATCAAACAGTTAAAATTGTTAGTCTGAGCGTTTATAAGAGATGGAGGCAGGAGTGGTGAAGTGAGATCCCCAAATTTGAGTTTTGATACCAAATTGACATTATTTGTGACCAAAGACAGTCACTTAACCTTTTGGGGGAGCTATTCTGTCCTGCACAGAGGACTGGACTAGGTGAACTATCTACTATCCCTTCTCTCCCTTTTGTTTTTGTGCTTCCCGATTTTTCATTGCATTGAAAAGTGAGAATCCAATTGGAAATACATCTAGCAATTCACTAGGGACTTTGAGCAAGCTCTCTTGTCTTAGAGCGAAGTTAGACGTGACTGGGTCACTTTAAAAGATGCTTTAATTTTGTTCAACATGGCATAATCATGAAACTGTTACTAGCATTTAAAATTTTGCTGCCGTTAAAAGGTTAATGTATCTGTTTTAAAATAGAAGTGACGTCTTAAAGTTATTTTTATTTTTATTTATTTTTTTGCTTTGTTTTTAAGTGTACTTGGAAGATTGAAGGCTGGAAGTTGCTGGAGGATGTATACTGAACTCTTTATAAATAGATAAAAGTCTTAACTCTTTCACCAATTAGATTGTGATTATTAAGAGGAGGAACCATGCAGCATCCTTAGCATTTACTCCCAACATAGACAGTATGTTCCTGTAATGGGAAAACAAATTTTTAAAAAGTTGTCAGGTGGTGCCTGTGGCTCAAAAGAGGAGGGCACCAGCCCCATATGCCAGAGGTGGCGGTTTCAAATCCAGCCCCGGGCCAAAAACTGCAAAAAAAAAAAAAGTTGTCAACAATCAGATTAGAGCTATGCTTTTGGTGACTTGACCCGTTATTAGAGCTATGCTTTTGGTGACTTGACCCGTTAAATCTGAGCGTAGAAAAAGAATTTAGATTGGGAACAATTTGAGGTGTTCAGTGTTCATAACTAATGACGTTATGTGGTGTGTAATATAGTGAATTACACTATAGCAGTGGTTCTCAACCTTCCTAATGCGACCCTTTAATACAGTTCCTCCTATGTCCAACCATAAAATTATTTTCGTTGCTACTTCATAACTGTAATATTGCTACTGTTATGAATCATAATGTAAATATCTGATATGCAGGATGTATTTAGGCGACCCCTGTGAAAGGGTCGTTTGTCCCCCAAAGAGGTCACGACCCACAGGTTGAGAACTGCTGCACTATAGTGAATTTGTAATAGTGAATTAAAAAATTATACTACTTTGCCCAAAATGCATACTATCAAGGATATATGCATATATAAATTGAAATACATTGTTGAACTTCTGCTTATTTTTCTATTGCTTTCTCTTAATGTAGAGGGAGTAAATCAAAACTGTGATATTTGGGGCTTTTTTCTTATACAGCTCTTTCTTTTTTTTTTTTTTGAGACAGAGCCTCAAGCTGTCCCCCTGGGTAGAGTGCCATGGCATTACAGCTCATAGCAACCTCCAACTCCTGGGCTCAAGCGAGTCTCCTGCCTCCGCCTCCCAAGTAGCTGGGACCACAGGCGCCCGCCACAACGCCCGGCTATTTTTTGGTTGCAGCCATTATTGTTGTTTGGCGGGTCCGGGCTGGGGATTCGAACCCGCCACCTTAGATGTACGTGGCTGGCGCCTTAGCTGGTTGAGCTATAGGCGCCGAGCCTACAGCTCTTTCTTTATTGCCTGCATTAAGACAGTTCAAGCATTTCCCTTGACAAAAGCAAATATTTGTATTGTTAATGTAACACTAAATTTCAAAAAACAAAAACCAAACTAGTGACCCTGGGAGGACCACATGAACCACAGGTAAACTCAGATTGTTTGTTTTAGGCATATATGAGAAGCCAGGTGAAAAACATAAATAATGTTTGATTTACTCTTCATTTAGCGAATATTTATTGAATCTGTTCTGTGCCTTTTATGTTTTTAGGCACCAAGTATACAGTAGTTAACTAACTAGATAAGATCCCTTCCAGGGAACAAACAAGACAGCCTAAAAGTCTGATCATTAAGAAATGCAGTAGTTAAAAGTTTAGTTAATGGGTACATACAGTATGAAATTAACCACACACACAGTTTTGTTACTTCTGTAACAAACTGAATTTATTAAATAACTCATTAACCCACCTATTATAAAGAAAGTACTATAGGTTGGAGTTTTTGAGTTCTGTGACCTTTATTATGGAAGAGCTGAGGCAAAAACTTAATATTTATCCAAATAAGGCCCATAGCTCATACCTATGATCATAACAGTCTGGGAAACTGAAGTGGGATTGCTTGAGCTCAGGAATTTGAGGTTGCATGAGCTGTGATGGTGCCACTGCACTCCAGCTGGGGAGACTGAGTGAGGCCTGGTCTCTTGGGGGAAGGAGGGAGAACCTGAATAAGAATAATGGGGCTGCTTATGCCTGTAATTCTAGCACTCTGGGAGGCTGAGGTGAGTGGACTGCTTGTGCTCAGGCTCGCCTGAGCAAGAGTGAGACCCTGTCTCTAAAAATAGACAGGTGTGGTGGGTCCCTCTAGTCCCAAGCTACTTAGGAGGCTGAGGCGAGAGGATTGCTTGAGCCCAAGAGTTTGAGGTTGCTGTGAACTGTGACTCCAGGGCACTCTACTCAGGGCAACAAAGTGAGACCCCATCTCAAAACAGACAAACAAAACACTGTGGGGCGGCCTAGGGGCTGGAATTCTAGCACTCTGGGAGGCTGAGGTTGTAGGATTGCTTGAGACCAGGACTTGGAGACCAGCCTGAGCAAGAGCAAGATCTCTCCACCCTGCCCCCCCACCCCCCACTAAAAAGAGAAAAAATTAGCTGAGCTTGGTGCCAGGCACCTTTAGTTGCAGCTACTTGGAGTGGCTGAGGGGAGGGTCACTTTAACCCAGGAGTTTGAGGGTACAGTGAGCTATCCTGGGTAACAGAGTTGAGACTCTGTCTTAGAAAAGGGGGGGAGGGTGGCCCCATATACCGAGGGTGGCAAGTTCAAACCCAGCCCTGGCCAAACTGCAACAAAAAAATAGCTGGGCATTGTGGGGAGTGCCTGTAGTCCCAGCTACTCGGGAGGCGGAGGCAAGAGAATCGCCTAAGTCCAGGAGTTGGAGGTTGCTGTGAGCTGTGTGACACCACGGCACTCTACCACGGGTGATAAAGTGGGTCTCTGTCTCAAAAAAAAAAAAAAGATGGGAGGTCTTTCTGAAGTAAGTAAGAGTGGAGCAGAAACCTGATTGAAGGGTCTAGGAAAAGAGTGTCCCAGTTTAAGAGTGACAGTAAGTGTAAACATCCTAAAACAGGAAAGAGCAGAGCGCATTACAAGGGCTAAAAGAAGGTCTGTGGTTTGGACCCAAGAGAGTAGAGTGATGGGTAGAACACTCTAGGTAAGATGATGGGGTGATACTGAGAGGTTTTAAGCAGGAGATGTCAGAATTTATTTTTTTGGTAGATGCAGCCAAGAAGATTGTCAAATCAACTTATTTCTTAGTTATTCCAATCTGGGCATGCTTCTTATCTGGCTTAATTTAAACTATCATTCTTCTCCTTAGGTTAATTATGTCTGATGTCTTCATGGACCAGAAGCCTGTTTGCCTCAATTTTAATTTTAAGTCAGTTTTAATTACTTTGAGAGTAGCTTACTGTACCCCCTTTCCTTTTTTGAACTTGCTCATTTTAATTTTGAGTAATTAGTGAATTCAGAGTTAACTGGAAAGGTTTTGATGTTTTTCAGTATTTTGTTTACAGAAGGTTTTTTGTTTTTGTTTTTTGAGGCAGAGTTTCACTGTGTCACCCTTAGTAGAGCTCTGTGGCATCACAGCTCACAGCAACTTCAAACTCTTGGGCTTAAGTGGTTCTCTTCCCTCAGCCTCCCAAAGTAGCTGGGACTACAACACCTGGCTAAGGGAAAATATATATTTTTAAATATACCTATGAAAAGGAACTCCCAAAAGTTTTGTTGACTTCACAATAGCATTTTCAACCTAGCTAGTGTTATTTATCATGGGTTAAGAATGGTAAATTTGGCAGCGCCCATAGCTTAGTGGGTAGGGCACTGACCTTGTACATTGAGGCTGGTGGATTCAAACCCGGCCTAGACTAGCTAAAACAACAGTGACAACTGCAACAACAACAAAAAATAGCTGGGCATTGTGGCAGGTGCCTGTAGTCCCAGCTACTTGGGAGAGTGAGGCAAGAAAATCACTTAAACCCAAGAGTTTGAGGTTGCTGTGAGCTATGACGCGGTGGCACTCTACCCAGGGCAATAGCTTGAGACTGTCTTAAAAAAAAAATAAGTGGTAAATTTATTAGCCATATCACTTTGCTAAGGATAATCTAATCATGATCTTGTTTTATTTCTGTATAGTGTTTACATACAAAAATATCAGCAAATTTTGTTTAGGGGGTTTTCTGCAATTTTTGGCCGGGGCCTGGTTTTGAACCTACCACCTCAGGTATATGGGGCCAGTGCCCTACTCCTTGAGCCACAGGCGCCGCCCTTGTTCTGGGTTTTTTTAATCAAGGAAAATATATCACTGTATAAATGCAAATTGGATGAATGAACAGGTTTGTGGACTTAAATTATCCCCAAGGTAGATTTTTATTTTTCGTAAACCTAAATAACGCCTTTAAGCTAACTTGATCCTTCTTTTTCACAGATGAGAAAACAACTATTTTCATTACTGTGCTTTATAGTTTTTTTCCCCAGACAAGAGTTTTGCTCTATTGCCTGGCTCAAATCCAGTGGCATCATGGAAGCTCACTGTAACCTCAGACTCCTAGGCTCAAGCAATACCGCCTCAGTTTCCCCAGTAGCTGGGTTTATAGGCAATGCTATCACACCTGGGTTCTTTACTCTTATTCAGGCTCTTAAGAGATCTTCTGCCCTTGGCCTCCCAGAGTGCTAGTATTATAGATGTGAGCCCCTGCTCCCTGCCTATATTTCATAATTTCAGTTCACTATTAATAAGTTTTCAAGTTTTAGTGTGTTGCTGTAAATTTTTTCAGCTACCTTGCAGCTGATTGAGAGTTTACAAATCTGGTATTGCTCTTGATGTTCCAATAAA